GAGGCAGATAAGCACAATCTGCACATGCTCAGAAAAACAAAACTTTCCTTAGCCCCACTGCGTATCGGCTAGGCGTACAGCAGCTAGGCCTAGCTTATCTTATTTTTGTTTGTTATGCACCACTGACTTGTTGTTTTTCATCACTTCAAGATGTCTACCGATTCGTGGAAAAGGCGTATTAAAACAAAAAATATTGGCGTTTGTGAGCAATACATTTTAATATTATATAGGTAAGTAATAAGTATATGAATAATTTTAATGCAGCACTAGTTAGTTGATAACTTCATTCTAATTTGTTTTGGGTCTTTTTTCTGCATTTTTATAAGCGGTTAAACATTACGGAAGTGTATTGCTGCCAACTAAAAAAATAAAATTTAGTTATTATCTCGTTATTACGAGATATTATCTCGTTATTACGAGATATTATCTCTTAATTACGAGATAATTATCTCGTAATTACGAGATATCTCGTAATTACGAAATAATAGGGTAAAGGTGGGAAATTGTGGACAGTGTCAAAGAGTATATAACAGAATCCACTGATATTCTTAATGCACGCAAGTCAGCGTGACGCCCGATCTTTATATTTCATTAATGAAAATTGTTTAGATATTTATTAGAAAAATATTTTATATGAAATAATGTAATCGTTAACGCTTTAATAATATTTGATATTTGAATGTTAAACACAGACACAATGTATACACAGGCTTATAGAGAGTCCAGTTAAAATATGTAAATAATACTCGAAATATACTTATTATATATTTATATAAATATTATGCGTAAATATGTATTTAGTATATTAAATTAAATTTAACAAAAAAAAACGGAAGAAACATATAGGAAGGAAGAAAGAAGAAAAGGAAAAAAAATTGGAGCGGCTGAAAATATTTTTAAAATAAGCTTAATTTAATAACTAAATACATATTTACGCATAATATTTAGGCCTATATAAATATATAATTAAGTATATCATTTCGATACATATTTACATGTTTTTAACTGGACTCTCAAATAGGCCTGTGTATACATTGTGTCTGTACTGAACATAATTCAATCTTATTGCTTTATTTAAATTATTATCAAATATTATTAAACCTTAACGATTACATTATTTCATATAATGTATTTTAAAAATAAATATCTAAACAATTTCATTATCGAAATATAAACTCAGGAACTGTTATTGTTGGTTGAGAATATCTCGATGTTTCGGTTGACTTGCTTCAACCGTCTTCAGGAGAATAATCAATTATTCTCCTGAAGACGGTTGAAGCAAGTCAACCGAAACGTCGAGATATTCTCAACCAACAACAACAGTTTTTTTCAGAACTATCTACGTGGTGTACCGCAAGCATTAATTATATATTATACTTCGCCATGCAAACCTTCAAACAATACTATGTGATGTTACTACAAAATGAAATCACATAATTTAAAATCAAATTTGTAAACATGCTTGCCTTATATCTTAACTAGCAGGTGATTTTATTGGTAGATTAGTTTGTTTTTAAGTGTGTAAGTATGATTGATTTGCATGGTTTGCGGGGTTTGCGTGGTATGCGGGGTTTAGCAATACCCCCTGAATTCTGTTTTTTTTTTTTTATTGTGTACCTTTGCTGTAAATTTGTACTCCAATTCAGGCCTTTGGGCTGCTATTGTACTTTTAGTGGTTTTTTGAAATAAAGAATTGAATTAAATTAGTACCCTTATTTTGCTTTGTTTTACCGTACTGCAATTCTCTTAGCCAATACCAGTGTGGCTAAGGAAAGTTTGTTTTTTGGAGCATGTGCAGGTTGTGCTTATCTGGCTCATTAGCATAACAATACCACACATAAGACTAAGTTAGACGGGTTAGACGGCTTAAACCAGCCAGCTTAATCCTGGTAACAGTTAAAAATTCTTTGTTAAATTTCTTAAGTCTTTGATCATGAGCCCGGCCGTTATTTAGGAATTTCAATGGGGGGGTTCGGCTTGGGACTATGTGGAACTCCTTATCAAAACCCACATACTTCTTCTTCTCTCCCCTAAATGGGGACTTTATTCAGTGTTTACTAAACAGAGCTTCTATATTATAACAGTCTTTGGCACTTCGTTTTCTCTCCCTTTCTCGCTGTTCTGCTGAATCCACGCAAGCTCTGGCGCATATAGCCTCTTAATTGATTTTAAGCAACGCAATTAACATTTATTTTCATACAAAATTTTTAAAATATCCAGTAGCGGATCCAGTAATTTGAAATAGAGCTGGGCCCAGAGAGGGACTTTTACAGATGGAGAGTGTAGCTGGACTACCACCTCAGCCCCACCATGGTTGGGGCTGAGGTAAGAAAATTTATGATTATGGCACCTCCAGTTGGTCGGAAATGGCACTCTCAGACTAAATTTGAATATAATTTTAATTTTTCTCCACTTTTGAATTTCGAAAAAAAAATAAAAAAATAGTGATGGTGGGCCGGCTGGGCCCCTTGAATCTGCCACTGAAATACTCATCATAAAGAGTTTTTAAAATTATCCTTTTTAGTCATAATTATATGCCCGCTTATATATTTCGTGCAAACTAACATTCATAAAAATAATGATTTATTATCTACTGAGCTTGTAATGTAGCCTATTCAAAATTCGAACCCTGAAAAATAAATAATATAAAATTAAAACAGTAATTAATTTAGTCTTTTTGCATGTACAGTACATTTAAAAAAAGGTTTTTGCTTTTCTCCTCTTTTTGAATTTCACTTTTGTGTAAGTAATATTGCTATAAATTATTGTGAGTGGCAATAATACCATCTAATTTACGATCAAACAGGACTAGGGAGATAGGGAGCACACAAAACATTAGTTAGCATTTTGATTTCACAAACATAAAGGTGATTTACTTAATTATCATTATCAGTGGCGGCTCCAGGAAAGCAAATTAGAGGGGGGACAGGGAGGGACTTGCACGTTGGGAAAGTAGATCACCTCAGCCCCACCATGGTTGGGGCCGAGGAAAGAAAATTTATGATTATGACACCGCTAGATTGCCGGAAATGGCACTCCCAGACCTAAATTCTAATTATAATTCCTTTGTTTTTTTTCCATTTTTTAAAAATAATTTTGAAAAACTTAGGGTCGGCTCGGCCCCACTTGTATCTGCCACTGATTATTATGACGTCATTGCGAGAAGGAATAAATCGTTAACAACGTTCAGTACATTGTTTTCACAATAAATTTAGCCTCTGATAGTCGTTGCACCCATAAAATCGATCTAGT